GGTTATGGGGGGGGGCCTAATTTTATGCTCCCTTCAGGGAGAAGCAACCGTGAATTCTGGAGGGTGGCCGATGAGATTATCTGGCCAGAAATTTAAATATTACTTGCCTAGATATTTTAGGTTATTAATGATTTTATACATGGAACTTTGTAATAGCCCTATTTTGGCTCAGACAGTGAACAGAAATATCTCATGATCTAAAAACATTATGTGTATGTTAGCTTATTTAATTCTCCCAATATTCTTTAGAGGTTGATAATAGTACTAGTCCCATTTTGAAATGAGGAGTCAGAGACTTAGAGGAATTAGTTAACCTGTCCAGGGTAACATAGTTAGCAGTGGTAAACATGACCTTCCTGCTCTAAGAGGTCTGTTCGTGTCCGTATAATCTCATGAACATATCTATCAGAAAGAGACTTCCACAGTCACAAAGAAGAAAGGCCCTTGAAAGAGTGTTTTGGTTGCAATTCTTCAATGTGGTTGTGAGTGTAGCTTGGCCCCATTTTCCATTATAGTCCTCTTCTTTTCTCAAGTACCTTTCCCTAGTACAGAATCTGATTTCCCCAAAACCACATTTTCCAAACTTGTACAACTTTATCCCACTGAGGGCTGCACATTGGAATAAGCCTTTGCAAGATGGGAGGGCAGAGGTGAATGACAGTCCTGCTATTTATCATGGCTAAAAGAAGCATAGGTTTGAGGCATTGAACTCTTCCATAAAATTAGTTACTGTCTTTTTGGTGGAAAGGTGTTCCTGTGTGGCCTGTTGCAAGAGTCACTTTTTTTATAGATCATGGTTCCTGTGCAGGGTTCTTGTACAAAGCATGCTCTACTCCATGCCTCTCACATGCAGTCACCCTGGAGATCCAGTGTTATTTTATAGTCATTTCTAGAGATGCAACCAAAAGTTCATTTCTCCAATATGTAATGTCATACATTCATCATCTTTGCATAATTGTCTTGACTGTACTGGTTTTCTGGACTGTTTTTCTGTGCAACACTTGGTCTCTTGATCACTTGACTTCCTGCTAATCATCGATTTGCTCGAGCGGGCACCAGTAACATCTCCATTTGTCCCTTTCGCGTGCTAGTATAGCCCAATGGTGTCTGTTCGTTCTAAGAACACGAAGAGCTTCAAACCAATCGTTAAGGGTCTTGATGAAGAAGTCTGACCATCTGGTAGGTGGGCGGCCATGCAGTCTTTTGACGTCCCATGAAATCTAGTTGGTAACGGCTCTAGTCCAGCGGTCGTCTCCAAATCTTATTACGTGTCCAACCCATCTGATGTCTTGGTCAGACCAATGATGTCATACTTGATCTTTTGCGCTTGTACCATCAGGTCCTGTGCAACACTGAAAATTAATTATACTGGATTCACAAGTAAACATTATTAACATGCATAATAATTGATAATGAACACTTTTGGAGAAGAAGTTCACATTTTAGCATAAGTGATTCAACAAGGGGATGGAGCGATAGCACAGTGGTAGGGTGTTTGCCTTGTGCACAGTCAGCCCAGCTGAGCCAGGTTTGATTTCTCTGCCCCTCTCGGAGAGCCTGGGAAGCTACCGAGAGTATCTTGCCCACACGGTAAAGCCTGACAAGTTACCCATGACATATTCAATATGCCAAGCACAGTAACAAGTCTCAAAATGGAGACATTACTGGGCCTGCTCGAGCAAATCAATGAACATTGGGAGGACAGTGTTTGTGTTTTGATTCAACAAGAATATATATTCTATTTTCTTATATAATATTTGCAGTGAAGTGTGATTAGTGAAAGAAATGAGACTTGTCAGGACCAATTAGCAATCACTCAAAAAGTGTTTAAATAAATACAACAATATGTACCTTATTCTCTTTAAAATATGTGTTATTTTGCCGAAGACCTCCAGAACCAGCCACAACCATGCTGAGACTACTCTCCACATGCATGAAGGTACCGGCAGAGGAACAAAGGCATGCAGGTCCTGGGGCTGAGATCTCCAAGCCTGCTCGGATCAGGGCTGAGCATCCTCCACCCAGATCCTCCATCTTCCAGTAGGCGGGGGTCACACCCACCAACTTTCCCCCAGCACCATGTAATCCCATCAACGGCCAAGACCCAGAGATTATAAAGCCCAGCTCCTGGAAGTGACATCTTATTATCTCATTCTTGCTTTGGACAATCTGGCAAGCTACCGAATGTAACCTGCCCACACAGCAGAGTCTGGCAAACTCCCCGTGGCGTACCCAATATGCTGAATACCAGTAACAATGATAGGTCTCATTCTCCAAACCCTGAAAGAGCCTTGGATGCGGCACTTTCTAGAATCTCAGGGCTAGGACTATCTCTCTCTTGGCGTTCCTCGCACAATCATGGAGGTGCTGAACCAGTCAATCGTATTCCTCATCAGTGTCAACAACAGCATCTTCCCATGTTGTAGCAATAGTGCCAAAGAGCTCCCAGTTGGTGGTCGTTCTGAGAGTTCTCTTCTTAAGCTTTGCAGCCCTTTCTCCCCACTCTGTGAAGTAGAATTTTGCATGAAGGAGACAGTGGTCTGATCCCATTTGGAATTTTGGGACAACAGCGACATCAGTCATGCAAAACCGTCGATTGAATATGATGTGGTCTATTTCGTTGTGGAACCATCCACCGGGAGACTCCCATATCCAACGTTTAGATTCAGCCTCATGGAACTGTGAGTTACCATAGATGGTCTTGGTCGACATGATGAACTCAGATAGTCTCTCACCCTGTTCATTCCATTATAGGCCATGGGTCCCAATGTGGAGTTCTTCGGCTGATCTTCTCGGTCCTATCTTGGCATTAAAATCACCGACAATGATCTTGTAGAAGGTGTGGTCTTCTTTATAGAACTTCTCCAGCTCCATGTAGAACTTCTCAATTTCTCCTTCATCATAATTGGATGTTGGTGCGTAGACAACGAAGATAGAAACTGCTGGCAGTGAGCCACATCTATTCAAGTGTAATCATCCGATTCGGCGTGTTAGGCATTCAAATGAATCAATGCTCATGGCCAAGTTCATGTTGACAAGGACACCGACGCCTCTGATGCCTCTTTTATCGCATGTTCTGAGGAACAATTCTTCTCCAGTGTTGAAAACAGCATGATGTGATTGATGCCTTCTTGTCTTGGTCAGACCAATGATGTCGTACTTGATCTTTTGTGCTTGTACCATAAGGTCTTTGATGGATGCATCCGATGCTACCATACGTGCATTGAAAATACAGACAATCATTTTTGTCTTTCTTTGTTTTGGCAGCCTAGTTCAGCCTTGAGATTTTATCAGCCTCTCCTTCCTTTTCCTTCTCAATGCTGCCATTTTGGTGATGCTTTCTGGGTCAGAGGAATGAGACCCATTGTAATTACTGGTTTTGGCATATCAAATACAAAATGGATAGCTTGCGAGGCTCTGCCGTGCGGGCTGAATAATCTTGGTAGCTTGCCAGGCTCTCTGAGAGGGATAAAGGCTTTTGGGGCAGCCTCTAATCGCCCTTGTAGGTGTCTCCATGGTTCAACACCTTGTAGGTGTTTCCATGGTTCAAACCATATTTGAATCCTGTCAAATATGGTATGGCAATTCTGGAAGAAATAGCTAAGAGAACGAAGAACCTCCAGCTCCAGGGACATCTCTTCAATTCCACTGTTCTTCCTGCATTAACATATGCCTCAGAGACCTGGGCCCTATGCAAACAGGATGAGAACGCTATTTGAGTCTCCCAAAGAGGAATCGAAAGAGCTATGCTTGGAGTGTCACATTTCACTCAAATTAGAGAAAGAATCTGGAGTTCTGATCTTCGTCAATGCTCAAGAATCAGGGACGCTGTCTCGTTTGCCAAGGCGTCAAAAATCAGATGGACTGGACACATAATCAGATTTGGAGACGACCGCTGGGCTAGAGCCGTTACCGACTGGATTCCACGGGACATCAAAAGACTGCGTGGCCACCCACCTGCCAGATGGTCAGTTTTCATCAAGTTCCTGAACGATCGGTTTGAGGCTCTTCATGTTCCTAGAACGAACAGACGCCACTGGGCTACACTAACACGCGACAGGGACAAATGGAGACGTTGCTGGCGCCTGCTTGAGCAAATCGACGATTAACGGGAAGTCAAATGATCAAGTGATCAGGGCTAGCATGAAGGAGACATGACTGGTGCATGCTCGAGGCAATCGACAAACAACAGGATGATCGTGATTGTGATTTTTGTTATTGTTGTTTTGGGGCCACTACTGGTGGTTCTCAGGGCTTCTTCCTGGGTCTTAATTCAGAGATCACTCTTGTGGGTTTGGGGAACCATAGGATCACTCCTATGGGTGTTGGATGGAAGGCAAGCATCCTACTCACTGTGCTACCTCTCTAATCCCAATTGTTTATAACTTTAATTCAGAAAGGTATGTACTAGTTTTACCCAACACAGAAGATCTTGCATCATTGCCAGCACGAGAGATGGTTTGGTCTCTATAAGTATCTGTTGCATAAAATAATGAATGCAAAAGTGACTATAGGCAAGACAGATAAATACATGAGTGGGTTCCACTTATAGGTTGATTATGGATATCCAGGTAGAGAAATAATGAGAACTGGGTACCAAATGAACTGTCATTGCATATTTATTTTTGTCTTTTCGAAGACACACATAGGGACCAGTTGATGAAAGCTTTTTGCGTTGGAATTTCTCACATGCAAGGGACATTGAAAAGTAAAATAAACTGCCATAGAAGCATTTATTTCTGTTTTGGGAAGTATTTAAGAAACAGCTAGACGGTCACTTACTAAAAGTGTGCTATAGTGTGGAAGGAGCTTCCTCCATTTAGAAAGGAGTGATTCAGATGGTACTGAAATTCTAGTCCCTGATTCTGTGATTCCAGGTGTTTAGTTGTTGGTGTTGCTGGAAGTTGAAATGATATACTTTACCTCTTTCCTTTATTTTCTTAAATATGATATTAATTCTCATGCTTCTCTGTTTTGCTTCTTTTTTCCTGGGAATACAGATGAGGTCTTGTCAGAAAATTTCCTGGACTATAAGAACCGCGGAGTCAATGGTTCTCACCGGGGTCAGATCATCTGGAAGATTGATGCCAGTTCTTATTTTGTGGAACGTGAGTACTTTTACAATTCCTGTTTCTCAGGATGAAGCTGAATGCTCTACTCTTTGTCACATTGACTCCATTTGGAAATATGTGTTCATTTCAGCACTATTTACAATTGTGAGAATTTGGAAACAACCCAAGTCCTTGAGAACAGATGAGTTAATAAAGAAACGATGGTACCCTATAAAATGGAATACTATGCAGCGTTAGGAAAAAAATGAAGTCATGAAATTTGCTTGTACATGGATAGATATGGAGAGTATGATGCTGAGTAAATTGAGTCAGAGGGAAAGGGACAGACAGAATGATTGCACTCATTTGTGGAAACAAACATAGTATGAAACTAATATCCAAAGATGAGTAGAAATGCATAAAAATGAGGGTCAAGAAGACTGGTCATTGATAGGAAGATTGCCACATGTGGGTCAGTGCAGTTAGGACAGAGAAGGGATCAATATGAGAATGATAGTTGGAAGTGATCACTCTGGACAAGGATGAGTCCTGGAAGGAGGTAAAGTGATATACATGATAACCTTTTAGTAACAGTGCCAAAAAGGAGAGAGAGGGGAGAGGGAGAAGAGGGAAATGGAGAGAGAGAAAGAAGAGAGAGAGAGAGAGAGAGAGAGAGAGAGAGAGAGAGAGAGAGAGAGAGAGAGAGAGAGAGAGGCAGACTAGGTGATGGGGGATGGGAGAGAAATCCTAGACTGTAAAATATCTGGAGGGTAGGGCGGGCCAGGGAGAGACCCGGCGGACCTCCCCTTGCTCAGGAATATCTGGAGGGTGGGGCGGGCCAGGGAGAGACCCGGCGGACCTCCCCTTGCTCAGGTTCGGGGTGGGAGGGCCTCCGGCTGCTCCTCCAGCCAGGGCAGCCCTGGTCACAGGGCAGATGGTGGATGAAAAAAGGGCCAAGCCAGTTGGTTGATCAGATGTCATTTATTCCATTCTCCCCGCGTGCCTGCCCCAGTCTCTCTGAGCCTCCCATTCTAGTCTCACACTGCCCCACGTTCCCATCTCCTTCTGTCTCTCCCACTCGTCTCTCCACCCTCCATATCACAGCCTGGGCTCCCTCTCTCCACGTGCCTGCTCCTGTATTCTTCTTCTACATTCTTCTCTCTCTGTTCCCCTTGCTATTCTCTCTACACTCCATTGTGCTGCCCTGCTCTCTCTCTTTCTCATCTCTCTTCAGCTCTCTTGTCTCTCCATCTCCCTAGCACTCTGGGCCAGCACTGCACCCAGTCTGGTAGCAAAATCAACATAAGAAAGCCCTTCCTAAGGTCCCACCAAGTTCAAAGGGAACACCATATAAGATATTCCAAAGCCCTTCCTGACTGCCCAAGGGCAAAATACCTCAAGGTGTTTTTCTCCTTTCCTCAGTCCAGTAACTCTATCAACATCTTAATACTAGTTATTTTTGTATGGACATAGTAAGAGATAGGTTGAAGTTTGCAAGGCAGCTCTCCTAGGAACATCTTGCCACAGACTCAGACTACAGAGCTCAGGCCAGATTAATCTTTCCTAACCATAGCAGGGTCCGAATCTAGTTATTACTTTTTTGATCATAGCAGCATTTGTCCATGACTAAGCTTTTAACTTATAGTTAAGCATTATGGCACCTTGGCCAGGCCCATCTCGATGCAAGGGTAGCACATAGCTTACCGCGTGCCCTGGTTCCATCCAGTCCGTTGTCAGAACCCTGCTTTTGGGGGTAGTAGGAAGTAAAGGCAGCTGAGGCTGAGGTCGAGAGAACAGATGCCCAGGAGGAAAATAACACTGAGAGTCACATTACAAAAGCATAGCATATACTCTCTTCTTGTGTCCATAAAAAAAGGACATTGCTCTGAATAAACTATGCAAAGGACTTGGGGAGAAGAGAAAAACAGTATTTATAAGTCAACAGAGCACAAAAAAAAAGTTACAAATAAACACAGAGGAATGGGAGCACTGTGATGGGGGCAACCCAATAAACCTAAAGTACCTGAGGCTATGCAGAAAGGACAAAACAATGTTATCCTATAGTAGACCTTTGGTGGAAAATGTACACTGGTGAAGGAATGGGTGTTGGAACATTGCATGATTGAAACTCAATCATGAACAACGTTGTAACTGTGTATCTCACAGTGATTAGATTAAAAAAACTGTCTATATGTTAAAATTTATTTTGTAGGAATTTAATTTAGCAATAGTGCCAATAAAGGCTATTCTTTCCTGTTTTTGGTGATATGTATGTATATGTACATAGTGCTTCCTATATGTTTTATTTATATAATATTGTTTTCATCAAGTAAAAATACATGCTTTAAAAGGTGTTATAATAATAATTAATCTCTGTAAGATATATAAAATATTACATTCAGTGAAAATCTATTCAAATATGCCTTCCATCAAATGTTCTATGTGGAGGTCTTTAATCCATTTAATATGATTTTTGTGCATGGCATTATGTAGAGGTCAGAGTTAATTTTTTAACATATAGCAGTCCAGTTTGTTCAGCACCACTTGTTAAAGAGTCTCTCCTTGCTTTACTTCATTTTTCTTGCTCCCTTATCAAAGATTAGGTGATCATATATTTGAGGATCTGTGCCAGGATATTCAACTCTATTCCATTGATCTGCAGGTCTGTCTTTATACCAATACCATGCTGTTTGTTTTTTAAACAGATTTTATATATATATATATAGATATGTATATGTACATATCTATATATATATACACACACACATATATGTGTGTGTGGGCTGGAGCGATAGCACAGCGGTAGGGCGTTTGCCTTGCACGCAGCCAACATGGCCGACCCGAGTTCAATTCCTCCGCCCCTCTCGGAGAGCCCAGCAAGCTACCGAGAGTATCTTGCCCACATGGCAGAGCCTGGCAAGCCACCCGTGATGTATTCGATATGCCAAACACAGTAACAACAAAGTCTCCAATGGAGACGTTACTGGGCCCGCTCGAGCAAATCAATGAACAACGGGAGGGCCTTTACCTTTACCTTTATATGTGTGTGTATGTGTATACATAAATATGTATACATATATGCACACAAGGCTCAACCTTTCACAACATGCTAGTGATCTCTTATAGAAGGTCTTAATGGCCCCTGGGTCAAATACCATGCTATTTTAATTATTACCGCTTTGTAGTAGAGTTCAAAGTTGGGAGGGTGATGCCTCCAATCTTCTTTTTCCTAAGGATTGCTTTAGCAATTTGTAGACGTTTATTGTTCCATATGAATTTCAGGAATGTTTGATCAATTTCATTAAAAAATGTCATGGGAATCCTTGTAGGGAATGCATTGAATCTTTATAATGCTTTGGGGAGTATTGCCATTTTAACGATATTAATTCTCCCAATTGATAAGCAGGGGATGGGTTTCCATTTCCTTGTGTCCTCTTTTATATCTTGAAGTAGTGTTTTGTACTTTGTGAAGGGATTCTGAGGTACTTGATTTTCTGTGGTACAATTGTGAATGGGATTTTTTTGATCTAACTTTCTTCTCATTCATAATTTGAAACAGGGTTGACCACCTCATTCATAATTTGAAACAGGGTTGACCACATAAAATGGAAGTGCCTTAAAAATTGGTTTGAAAACCTCTATGCAAGTCGCTTCTTCACATTCAGTAATCTCAATTATGACTTGATAGAAAAGAAATGAGGGATTATAAACTGGTTGTGGTCCAGACTGCTAGGGGTCAACCTGAGGACACACATGTTCCAAATGAATAATGACAATTAGACAATGTATTGTGGCAGTGGAACAGCAGTATTTCAGAAAGGAAGAGGATTTAGGTGTGAGGAGATACAGCCATCAGATTCTCCCTAGTGGTCTCCCAATGTGGAAGCCAAACTGTTGTGTACAATAACTTCATCTCAGTCAGATATGCATCACACATGAGGAGACATCAAAGTCATTCCAGCATCACCAAGAATGTCATCCTCATTAAGTAATATATCATAAAATTAGTGCCTGTGCATTGTAGCAGAAAATAGCCAAACAGGTATAAACAAATCCTTTGGCTCAGATTCACTGCAATACAGAAAGATACTGCTAGCTGCCAGAGGAATAAGTATCAGATTTGTTCAGAGATGAAAACTCTTAATCAGAACAACTAAATGTCAGTGCCACAATTAGCCAAACTGACTTTCCTGGATTAACCGAGATATGCCATTTCAGTAAGAAAGCAAATGGATACATACATGTGTCTATCTCAACCCATAGTTCTGTATACTTTGGGGAACTGTGTCTCTCACTAGAGAAGTTAGAGGTAGAGAAGAAGACTCCAACTCTAACTTCTCAGGCTTTCACCTTCCAGTCAAGGAGACAAATACATTCTGCTTAGGTGTGTGGGGACAATGATGAAGAGCACACTAACTGGTTTTGGGACATCAAATTAGTTACTACCCCTCAGTAAGAGGAGCGAGTAGTCAGAGTTGAACAGGGAGAGGAAAATAGAATGTGAGGTGGTGAGATAAGTCTTGGCCAGAGACAGCACGTGTAAAAGTACAGAGATGTGGATGAGGAGGTATGAGGAGAGGCAGGGTGGGCGAAGAAAGATTTGAGAATGGAATCCTCTTGAGAAGGAGGTAGAGGAAGAGAAAACATTCAGTGTGTAAGATTAAGGATGGATTTAAATTCTTTGGTAACAGAAACTTTTTTTACATCATCATCATCATCAATATGTCCTTCAAGCAAAATACATGTCCCCTTCCTTTGGGTTTATTTGGGTTCTGTGACCTTGTGCTGGTTTTCATGCTGATGGCATACTATTCTAGCTTCCAGCAGAGACTGATTTATTAATTTAGTTTACACTTACTACTTCATGGAATCTGTGAGACAACTGTGCTATGGGAAACACAAGGTGATCATGAGGAAGGGTGCATTAAATCATCCTGGCCAGGCTAGTTTCTCCACCCATCTTTTCCCGGGGTGGAGCAGAGGTCTGGCCAAGCTGCTGAGCATCTGAACAGCAAGTGAGACCCACAAATGAACTACATGGTCAAGCCCAGTCGCTG